TTTTCCTTCTATAGACGTGGGGAGTGGCCCTCAAGGGCAGCTGAAAGAACGGAATGCCTGGCACACTAATGTCCTGGAAAGGAAGCATGGGGGATGGGAGACAGTTGCTTTTTCCTTCCCCTTTCCAAATCTCCTTTAGTTTCCTTCCAGGTCTTCGTGTCCCATTTCAGCGCTAAATGTTGGGAGACTGGGGTCTGTCCTCGGAAAGAAACAGCCTTTCTGTTTATAGGTTTGGATCGTCTTTATCCCTTTCAGGGAACTGGTGTGTTGGGGACGGCTTCTCTGCCTTGCCTGACATGGTCCAGTCATCCTGTCAGCCTTCTGGACGGCAACACCAAAGCTGGGACCAAAAAAAAGTTCCAGTTTAAGTGCTAATGCCCAAAGTGTTAGATCTTGTTTGCTTGTTTGTTTTAAATCAGAGACTAATTAATGTCAAGCAAATCTGTTAAAAGATTTGATCACGGGAAGCCTGGTCGGTTTCCAGTGACCAGGTCAATTCCATATCTGAAATTGGTCTTATTAGAGTTGCTGCCAAAACCAGTTTAACCTTTAAGCTGTAATATGTTGTTTCAAAGAGGAATCTGGGTTAGGCTGCCTTTTTTTGTTGTTGTTCTCCTATCTTTGAAACACATGCATTCCATTTCAAGCCTGTCCCTGTGCGATATACCAAGAACCATGCGTTGCCTGCCTCTCTGACTTCCTGCTCTGGAAATGCTCAGGAATCTGGATCCTGCTGGGGCATGGGCCCTGTGGGAGGGCAAGTGGGGGAGGGGAGGATAAACAGGATCATTCCCAGGGAAGATGGTGACAACATGTCTCTGGGGCATATAGAGGAAGTCAGAGGCCACCAAGGGAAAAGAGATTGTTGTTTGACTAGTGTTTTGTGTATGTGCATGAGTGCACACGTTTAAATCTCTGGTGAGGGGGCCGGGGAGGGGGAGTTAACTGCAAATTCAGAATCTCCCTTTGGGGTGTTGGCTCCTGAGGAGATACACATTTCAAAATAGATATCTAGTAAATGACTCACAGCAGACCTGCTCCCCGATCCAACAGTTATCTGTTGCCCAAGCTCAAGGAACTTGCCCCTGCCCTTCCCTGACAGCAGACATCCCTTCCTTCACTGACAACGCAGATATTCCACAGATAAAGGTAACAGTGTCACATAGCACCCTGCACCCCTAAAAGTCATGGTACCTAAACCTGCCACCTCTGGACATCAGCTGGTTAGGCTAAGAAACTTAACATCCTGGAGCATTAGTCTCAAGGGTCTCTCACCTGTTGCTGGAATCCCACAGAGCCATTCTCAACTCCTTCCCAATTGATCTGCTCTGTCCTTGGCCTTGTGGGGGGCAAAATCTTCTGGGAGCAATGACAGTTTAGGCAAAGGAGGCATTCAGCACTGTGACTAAGGGCTGTGCAATAAAATACTAGGCATTTTCAATTCTTCCCATTGCTCTCTATCAGAATAAAATGTTTAATGGTATAGTTTGTGGAAAAAATTTTATAAACAAGGTGTGTTTGGACCATCTAAGCATTGCTTGGCATTGCACTGGATGGAAAGTGAATGCATTGTCTTCTCTGGTGGGTTGTTTGCTGCCAGAACATGAGGTTTTGTGGGTGGAGAATGCAAATGGGGAGTGGACATTGCACATTGAAGCCCACACATGCAGGTGCAGGCCACCAGGGCAGCCCTTGACTGGAAATCTGTCATCTCACCTTGTCACACTCACAACCCTGCTGATGGACGGATGGAGGAAAAGGGCTTTGCCAAGATGATATGGAAAACTCTGGGGCTACAAGCAGCCTCTTGTTTTCTAAGTGGGGGCACAGGAGGTGCTGTGTCCAGAGCAGCCAGCTCTTACCATGCTGCTTTGGTCCACCTCCCTGAAATCTACCTTGTCCCTTGGGCTGAGGTTAGAGCATCAGGGGCAGTGGGGCTATGGGCATACCCCTCAAAAGCTCCAAAGGGAGGGTCAGCCTTCATTGAGAACACATGTTGGTATGTTCATGATTCTGTGGGTTTAGTGTGGAAAACCACAGAAACTCCCAGTTCTGAGACCTACCAAGATAGGGGTTCAGAAGGGAGGAGGTGTGGGCATTGCCTGCTGATGAGTCACACTGGGGTGAGAGGAGACCTGCCTCACCTTCAGGCTATGGTAGCAGCTATAGCCACCCAGCCTAAGAAAGATGAAGTCTCAGATTGCACATCCTCTCCGAGTCCTGATGAGTCCTGATTGCCACTGCGACGACAGTTTCTAGCATGTCAGGGTTCACTGGCATCTCAGAGGCCCTCTTAGAGAGGGAAACTGAAGATGAAGGGTATAAGGTGACATGTCCAGGTTCCCTAGGCTGATTGATGGCAAAGCCAAGACCAGAACTGGGATCTGCACCTCCCCACCCCTATAATTCTCTGATACCGAATGAAGTTTTAGATGCCTTTAGAGGTGCTGGTGACTGGGGCCCTTGCTTAGGGGAAGGAAACATGGTCAGGCTTAAGGGGGCAAGGTACTTCGTGCTCCAGAAGTATTTGTGACAGCTGTGACTAAGGGATTCGAAGAAGTGGCAGGAAGAGAGATTTATGGCCCTCCAACTCCCTCCCTTGGTGTTGACCCAGCAACAGGTGTGTGGTGACAGGGACACATAAAGCCAGAGACAAGGCTGAACAGGCGGCAGGGCCATTTGGTGAGACAGTCAGCTGACCCTGTGTAGAAAGAGCCCTGACTCACTGGGGAGTGGGAGAGGAAGACAAGTCCGAGGCCGAGCAGCCAGCCCACTGCCTACCCTGACATGATGGCAGGGGAGAGCCCAGGGCCAGGGACCTGGTAAGCATCCCTAAGAATAAGGAGGCTGGTGCTGGGAAAAGCAGAAATCCAGTATTGGGGAGAGAGGTTTCTGGGATGAGGTAGGGCCAGGAGACCCTGCAGAGTCGCAGGGCCAGGCAGATTGTCTTTGTAGTGGTCCTGGTGGATATGGGGCCTGCAGCATTAAGCTGGGTGGAGAAGGTGCCACACTGCACCTCTTATCCCATACTCATTGTCTAAGCCAATGTCTACCCTGCCCAGTACTCATTTCCTTGGGGCTCCTGGATGGAGACCTGGAGTAAGGCTTTGTGTTCTGAAATCACCCCCTTGGTCCCTAGTACCTCTTTGGAGGGCTACTGCCACCTTTTCCCCCTCCTCTCATCTTTCCCAAAGTGATTACCTGCTTTGGCCCCTTCTCCTAAGACCACAAGTAAAGCACCTATCCCTTTGGGGAGGGGGAAGTGGTCCCTTATTCCCGGACCACAAGTGAAGATGTCAGCCTTTCTCATTGGGGAGGGGGGGAAATGGTCCTTTATCACAGGACAGCATTGAGATGAGGTTGGGTGTGTGAGGGGCCCAGCTTATTGCAATTTTGATGGCCCTCCTTTTCCTCCCTCCCCCAAGCAGAGTGCCTGTTCCACAATGGGCACATCAGCTGAGTCTTAGAAGTGTGTGTTGATGCCGCTAAAGAAATCACAAGAGACAAAGTTTTGGCGCGCCTCCACTGCCCCGCAGGGTCCTGGGACACTGTGCGAGACAGGGGAGGTACTTTTTTTTATTTTTTGTAGAGGTGGTCCCTGTCCTCCAGGAGCTTACAATCTAGCTGGGGAGACACAACTAATGCACACTTAAACAATCAGTACAATTAGCGATTACCACAATATTGACCACAACTGCGTGAGACCAGGGAAAAGCAAGATCAGTGAGGGGCAAGGGGGATTCAGAGAAAGTGTTTTAGTAAAAGTGGGATTCATTTCCTTTTACTGCTTGAATAGTTCCAAATCAAGTGACACATTATTTTGGAGTAGGGTGGGCTTGGGAGGCAGTGAGGAGGAAAGGGGAATCGAGGGAGCAAATGCAGCAAGGCTGGAATGCAAGTGCCCTAGGCAAGGGACAGCGAGAGGGCCCCACTGTATTTCTTAACCACCCTCCTTCCTCAACTGTGCCCTCCAGTCCCGCCACACAGGCACGCGGTTGGTGCTGCACCAAGATTCAGGGCTTCGGCTGGCGATGTCAGAGCGTCCATTCTGCTGGCTGGTGTGGTGTTTGGATCTCCATGGTGGGGCCTGCTGGCATGGCCCTGGCTTCGGGGCTGGGATGGCGCTGTACCAACTTTGTCCAGATCAGAATGCGGTGCCTATGCCCAAATCTCAGGGGTCTGCTCCCCCTATCCCCCCTCCTCTCCCGACCCTGCCCCTTGGTGGGACTGGTGCAAAGGGGTTGGGAAGGGATCTGGTATCTTCGTCATTGTCGGTACTGCTTCTCCAGGGGTCTACTGGCCCCTCACTGACCTTGCCAGGTGCTCCTCTGGCGAGGGAGCACAGGGGACCCCCCGTTCCTGTGCGGCACTGGCTCCCGTGCTGGCTGAGATGCACAGGAGCACCTGATGATACGGCCGCCCAGGGCTGGGAGCTGGGGCCTCAGTTGGGGGCTCGCTGCCTGCGCTCCCCCAACACCTGCCGCCCGGTCCGCGACACCGTGTACGCCAGCTTCTGCAGGGAGTACCTGAACACCTGCGGCGAGAAACCCAGGACCCACCCTTAGTGGAGAGCACCCACAGCATGTCTGTGGTGCTGCCGTGCCCACCCCCGCCCCACCCCCTGCCCCGCCCGCCCATCCAGCGTAGGCTGGAGAGGCGGGCGCGGGCGCAGCTTGTCCACGAGTCAGGGCAGCTGGAGCTTTTCCAACTGTGCTGAGAGCTGCATGGCGGCAAGCTGATTGGACCCACAACTTAGGTATACCTCACTTCTCGCAATGGGCTGTGTCCCTGGAGGATTTCGAAAAGCGAATCCTACCCAGTAAATGCAGCATTCCAGGAACACCTTGAAGGAAATATGCGATTCCTTTGGCAAAGGATTCCTTTAGCAGGGAATTCTTCCTGCAAAGGGAGCTTTTAGGGTAAATGGTTTTATGGGCAAAGCGCTTTCTTTTGATTTATCTCTTTTTACACAAAGCGCTTTTGCCTCTTTTTGATTTTTTTTTTTTTTTTCGTAAAGCAATTATCCTTTTTTGGAAGCGCCTTTTTCCCCTTCTATTTTTCTCTCGAGGGGCTTTTTTCTCTAATTTTTTTCTTGAAAGCGTTTTTGCCCAATTCATTTATTTCTGTTAGCTCCCTTGTCTGATTTTTTTCTGCAGTGCGTTTTTAATCTAATGCATTTTTTTTTTCTGCCAAGTGCTTTTCTCCGATTTTTCCTGCAATGCGCGTCTTTCTCTTTTCCTGTGAACTACTTTTTCTCTAATTCGTTGTAGGGTTTTTTTTGTTTTGGTTTGGTTTGGGTTTTTTTGCGAAGTAATTTTTATTTTTTCTGAGAAGTGCCTTTTTCTAACTTATTTTTTGTTTCACCCCCGCAAGCGCTATATGTTTTTTTTAAATAAAATTTCTCCGCAGTGCGCAATTTTTTAAGGTGGAAAATTTTCACTCTGCGAGCTGTAAAGTCTTGCAACACAGTAGTGCCCCGCCTCCCTCCTGGGGTCGAGTCCGGGTGTAGCGGGTTTTTCTTACCGCGTAGGTCGCTAAAAGCCTGGGTGATCGTCCGCAGCGGTCGCCCGCCGCGCCCCGAGTCTTTGTTCCCGGGCAGGCGCGGGCGCACTAGGGAGGGTCAGCGCGAGGAGGACAGCGCAGGGAATGGGCAGGGGGCGCGCGGTGCCGGCAGCGGCACTTTGGCAGGCAGGGATCGCGGCAATCGGAATAGGACGGTCCGGGAGGCGGCAATCGCGACGCGGTCTTGCGGGTTCTGGGGGCGCGAGTTGGGAACCCTCTCCCACCCGAAACCCTGGCACACTTACCTGCAGCAGCACACGGAAGATGTACCAGCCGATGATGAGCAGTTCAGCCGAGGCTGCCGCCACTGCCGCCATGGTTCCGAGAGTGGTAGGTGGGTGGTCGAGAGAGAGGGTTTGCCGAGATCCGCTGGTCTTGGAGTCCGCTGTTGGGCGCACTGCCGCAGCCGAGGTGGCCGCGCCTTAAGTACCCGCCCGCCACTTAAGTGCGCATGCGCGCCTTGGGGGGTGTTTATGAGGAGGGGTGGCTGGGGGCGCTCCTCATTCGCCAGGAGAGGAAAAAAATAATCCATCTGCTCTTTCCATACCGACCCCCGCCTCCTGAGTTCCATCTTAGCCCCCTTCCAGAAGATTCCGCCGTGCTTGCTTTTGGATTTTGCTTTAAAATGGAGGGGTACCACGACTCTGGATAGAGTACAAGGCGAGGATGGGGGTGCAGGTCTCTTAGTGTGGCGCCCTTCTCCCTAGTCCCTGGCCTGCAAATTTGAGCTCAGACCCCGGTGCCACTCCAGAGCCTACCTTGGGGATGGATGGAAAACAGAAATTAGGGAGGGGTCATCTGCCCCATAGAGCAAAAAAAATGGTGCCCCTTTCAGAAGCCTCGGCATAATAGAACCATGCTCGGCGCTCTTTTCCTAATACTGAATGAGTTTTAAGCCCAGGTCCTCTGCTTCATGAGTGTCCCTGAGCGCGTAACCCGTCTGATTCTTTACATCTCTCTTACGTTAGCGAGGAGATGAGGATCTGCGGTGGAGGTCGCTACCGTAGGGAGCTGAGCCAGGGCACTGCGCTTTGGGCGCAAAAGCAGTAGTCACCTGGTATCTGTGGGAGGGATACAGGAAGGATTGGCGCCCTTCGTATGCGCGGAAGGAATGAGCTCTCTACGGAGAAGTGGTTGGAATATGCTGGGAGATAGTTTTCTGCTGGACAGGTCGTTTCGACCTCTGTCTTCCGCTCCCCTCCCCCAAGCCCTGGTAGGTCGGCCTTAGCCGCTGGTTCTTTGTACCCGTTGCGCTGGGCGGCTGGATCACCGAACGGGATTTCGCTACCGCTACTGGAGAGTTGTGGCTACCGCAGCCCCATTTCCAAGTGAGGTGGGTCCCTTTCAGACCGCCCGTCTTGTGGGTCCCTCGCACAACTCAGATTTTGCAGACGGGAAGACCGGAATGCGGTTTGTGAGTGTGGTCCCCGCGCACCGGTGGCCAGCCGAAAGCACCTCTTTACAGCAAGCTGCCTTTTGCCCAGGGGCCAACTGGCATTTGCCCCTATGTGGATAGAAAATTAATTTTCGTTAAAAGCTCCTAGAGGTCAGGTTCTGTACAGTGCCAGCAGCAGATGGAGGTGTAATGATCCAAGCGACTTCAGTTTGGACAAAGTAGCATAGTGACTTTTTTCCTACATTGACTTTCGGAGAAGTTGGCAGGTTCTGGCAAAGTGACGCCGGGCTATTTGAAAAAGGCAAGCTTAGCCTAGGCTGCCATCTTAAAATATTTCGAGGCTGCAGCTGCCTCAGTATCCTTTGCCTGTGGTCTGGTGGCCGGCAGTGCGCCGCTAACAGCTTTAACTCGGCACTCAGTGCCTGAGCACCTATGGCTGTGAGAGATGCTAGATACAGAACCCTGTCCTTACCACGTGGGGGCACAGCAGGGAGCCCTTGGTAGTCCTTTGGCAACCACTGGGCGGTATTGTGAGGTCTGGGCCCCTTGAGGACGGGCTGCAGCCCCAGGAGGCGATACATGATCTCTGCTGGGCAGGGCCCAGGCAAAGCCAGTCCACTGTGTGAAACCGTGCCAAAGAGCCCTCTCCCTGATGCCCCAGGAGAAGCCCCGGGGAGACATCCCAGGAAGCTTCCCAAATTAGTGACTTGGAGAGGAGTAGAACTTTCACGGGTGGGCAGGGAGGAAAGGGCATTTCACATTTGCTGTTGTTAACCATGATCCATTTTCCCAAATAAGTATACATTCTGTTCCTGTTTTTTTTTTTTTTTTTTTTTTTTGTATGTGTGTTTGTCTGTCTGTCTGTTCTTTGTCTGTTTGTCTGTTGTGTTGACTTTTCTCTTCAGGATCCCTGCTGCCTTGGTGATCCCGGGCTGACAGCCAGAGAGCACAGCGGCTCAGCTCCTGGAGAGTGAGGGTTGAAGAAAGCGGAGGGCAGCCGCCTGCGCCCGCTGGCTCCCATTAGGTCGGTTCCTGCAGCGGTGCCCGGCAGCCTTGGTGAAGGCCCTGCCCGGCAGAGATCATGTATTGCCTCCAGTGGCTGCTGCCCGTCCTCCTCATCCCCAAGCCCCTCAACCCCGCCCTGTGGTTCAGCCACTCCATGTTCATGGGCTTCTACCTGCTCAGCTTCCTCCTGGAACGGAAGCCTTGCACAATTTGTGCCTTGGTTTTCCTGGCAGCCCTTTTCCTTATCTGCTATAGCTGCTGGGGAAACTGTTTCCTGTACCACTGCTCCGATTCACCGCTTCCAGAATCGGCGCATGATCCCGGCGTTGTGGGCACCTAAGGGCCTGCCCTGTTAGCTTTCCAAGGAAGCAGAAGACGGGAGGGGAGGCATTGACATAGGTCATAAAGCATTGGAGTTTCAAATCCCGCAGCCTCGCGGGTGTCACATTCCTGACGGCGCCTTTTTGGCCTGTGATGTTTTATCCTTATAATGTGAATAATGGCACTGACCGGTGCTTTTATTGTAAAGTCCTATAGTCGTGGGTGGTCTTGTGGTTGTGTGTGTCCTGTCCCCATCTAGGTCCTGGCTGGCCGCATGACCACCCCCCTCGCCTCATTACTGCGAGGAGTCTGGGCCCATCCTGGTCAACCGCCCCAATGTGACCTGGGGCAGATAAAATGCCAGTCTCATTGTCACCTCTGTGACCCCTCCTTGTCAGGGTCTCCTTCCTTCCCAGAATGTTACTGACTCAGTCCCTCTCCTGGTTTCCCTTTACTTCTCTTCTACCCTTTTCCTTTTTTTGGGGGAGTACCTGTCCAAGACAGGGCTCATTTTTGCACTTATCTCAAATTTGAAGAGATTGCTGACGCCCGAGAGCCTCGCTTTTTCATCCTTCTTTCCTTGTTCAGCAGGCTAGACAGAAACATGTCTTGACTGTTTGTTGTCCACAAATCTTCAGTATTTTCTCCACTTCATTTTTAAGAAAGGAAGCAACAGATAGATGTTGCTCTTTCACCTGGGTGTCTGGGCTCATGCTTTCCTGCCCAGCCTCACTTCCTTTGCCCTTCCTCCTGCCTTTCTTAACTGTTCCAAGGAGGGGGGCCTCATTGTGTCTCCCGTGCATGCTCTGCAGCATTGAAGTATGGTGTGTTCACGTAGTTCTAGCAGTCCCCAGCTGAGTGAGTGGGAGAGTACCTGTGTGTTTCACAACAGCCATGATCCCCTTGATAGATGTTTGGATATTTTTTGGTGTGCCCTGTGCGTGTGTGTGTGTACAAATACATGTGTATATTCCTTTTAAAGAAGCTTTATCGAACATGTTCTGATTTTGAGGTTTAGCAATAGCTAGCTATATATGGTAGGTGCCGCTACAGTTTTTATTTAGCATGGGGATTGCAGAGTGACCAGCACACTGGACTCCGAGGTGATTCAGACAAGACAGGGGAGCAGTGGCCATCATCCTCCCGCCAGGGGCTTCTCCGTTCCTGCGCATATAGACTGTACATTGTGAAGAATACCCAGGAAGACTGTGTGACTGTCACTTGCTGCTTTTTCTGCGCTTCAGTAACGAGTGTTGGCAAACGAGACTTTCTCCTGGCCCCTGCCTACTGGAGATCAGCATGCCTGTCCTTTCAGTCTGATCCATCCATCTCTCTCTTGCCTGAGGAGAAAGAGAGATGGGCCAGGCAGAGAACAGAACTGGAGGCAGTTCATCTAGGGAATGGGACTGTGAGGCCATACTTGTGAAACGTTTGGACTGCTATTCTAGAGCTTTTATTTGGTGTGTTCGTTGCACAGCTGTTTGAAATGTTTAATAAAGCTTTATAAACTTTACTTTGTGGTTTTATGTGGCTGCAGTCCATTTGGGTCGTGGTGTTGGATTTCGGAGTTGGTGGGGGGCAGGGGGAAGCATGGAGGGGCTGAGTCCTTGGCGCCAGAGTACCTTAGCCCGAAAATTTGATCTGCTTTCTGGAGAGCAGATGGTGGGGATGGGGGAGGGGGAGCAGGGGGCAGGACAGGCGGTGAACAGGAGGGAGTCTGAAAGTTTTCAGAGATGAGACATTTGCGTTTCTCAGCTCCCATGGCTTCTCGCCTGAAATTGTTTCCCTCCTTAGGAGATTTGAGTAACCGATCCCTTGACAAACAACTTAAGACAGCTGGAGCTCTAATCATCAAGGATTTTTATGGTGCTGCTTTTGAAGTAAAAATAGTGAAACCCCTTATGGCATTTCAAGTGGAAAAATAAATAAGATTGGCTGTCCAATCAGCCGGACGTAAGGTGATGGCTAGAAGTGCCGAGAGTGGTGTGGTTCCATGTTGTAGATAGGCACGTGCTCCCATGGCCATGACCTTTGAGGCAATGTAGGCTAGTTTGTCAGGTCCTGTGCTGGGTATTCACCTCTGAATCTCCTTCTAGAAAGCATAGTAGGAGTACTGCCTGTCCAAGCACAGGGCTATCGTGAGGTTTTATTTAGTCACAGTCGTGAAGGGCTTTGGTAATTTCATAGAAGATCACCTGTTTTACCTAGGCTTTAAATTTATTGCTATAAAATTGAGTATGGTTTTCTCCTGTTCACTTAAGTCTGCCCATTGTTACTTTATTCCTTTCTTCATTCAAAACTTGCCAAAGATTTGTCTATTTTAGAGGTATTTTCAAAAAACCAAACTTGTGTTGATCATATCTGCTGGGTAATTTTCTTATCTGATTCTTTTGTGCTTTTATCTCTGAATTCTTCTTTTCTGTGTTTCTGGATAGATTTCGTGGTTCTGCAAAGTCTTGACAAGCTGAGGAGTCATACCTGGAAAGGATGGTTTGTTCAACAAACACTGAGACCCTGTACTCGGCTTACTGGGGATTTCAGGGGCAAGACTCAGGCCTGACTCTCCGGGAGCTCATGAGTGTAGCCTAGTGGGAAGACTTAACAAAACAGACAACTGCAAATTCCAGAAACAAAGCAAACAAACAAAAAAAGGCTTTTGTGTCCCTTCTCTCCTGTGGCGACACCTGGATGATGAATGAAGCCAAGATTATTGCTTATTTTGCTCTCCCTCAGAAAGCAGCTTTCTGTTTCAGGTCAAGCCTGCTTAAGAGTCACAAACAGGCCTCCCTCTGAAAGATTTGTGGCCCTTTCCAGCAGGGACCCTGCAGCCACCCCTTCCCAAAGTGACTGCCAAATCAGCATTCTGTCACCCCATAATGCTTCCTACCTTGCCAGGCCACCGCCCCCTCTTCCTGAACTGCCTTTTAGGAAAATGAAAAGTAGATACCTTTTCTGTAAAAGAGTAGGGGCAGCAGGCCTTAGAAAAACATACAATTCCATTGGTCACTATGGCTCCTGGTATGAAATGGTTGCCCACATGGTACCTAGTGACCACAAGACCCCACGAGGCCTAGGTCTGGGCTGCTTTAGGAACTGGTCCTTGCCCTGCTGTGGGCCCCAGTTTCCAGATAGGTAAAATGTGATCTTTGGAGCAGACAGTTTTCTAGTCCTAATATCCTGGGAGTTCTTTCTCCCAAGATCTAGGATCTTCCTGGACCCATTTGAGGATGTTAGCTGGGCTCTGAGTAGGTGGCAGTGCACTTTCAGGATAGCGTGTGCTTTATGCTTTAGTCAGTGTACCATGTGAGCCCAGGTACTTCCTCTGTCAGGAAACTTCCTTGGATTTCTTCTCCCTGGAGATCTACTTGACTGGAGCATTTCACTCAGCCTTCTGTTGAGTGCTACTGCTAGTGTTAGGCAGACTTCCCCTTCTGTAGCGACTGAATTCCTACAAGGCATGGCCCGTGAGGGCTCCTCTTGTCTCCCAAGGGGGCCTGCATTGTCAGTCATTTGGCTGGTATTTGGCAGAATCCCATGCAGGAATAGGCCTTGGGACTATAGGGTCGACCATTCCTGCCGTCCGGGAGCCCTCCAGGCTAAAGGGAAAGGGCACAACATTGAGCACATAATGCCAGCGATACGCAGCCATGGACTGTGTCAGCTGCTACAAGAGAGGGTCTAAGAGGGGACCCAATATGGGCCTGGAAGGATTAACTTTCAGGTGGAGCCCTGAAGAACAATATATAAAGGTTTGAGCAGTGAAGTAATAAATGAGATGTTATTACTATTATTTTACCATCTAATCAAGCATCTCTGCTTACAGATAAAGAGACTGGGATGAAAGTAAAATGAAGGACCACCACTATCTGGCTGCCCTAGAATCAGAACCCAAAAAGGCTTTTTGGGATAAAGAGGTCAGTCTATCTAAAGCTAGCGAATTGTTGGGAGATACTAAGGGAATCTAAGGCTGAAATGCTATTGGCAGACTTCAAAAGTCAGCCCTCAGAACTCTTCATTTCCATCCGACTGGGAACCATCACAAACAAGGATCTGATGGGAGGTGGGGAGTAACCCAGTCAGAACAGCCTCTGAGATGGGATTCTGTCAGCAAGAAACAGGACAGCATTTGAGTGGTGAAAGTAGCAGGGCATGGAGAAGGCTACTGGCTTCTCTAGATCACTGGGAATGGGGAGAAGTAGTCATAAGGAGTGAGTGTGAATGAGGCAGGGACACAGGAGAAAGGGTAGGCTAGGGAGAAGGAAGCAGTGAAAGATGATATAAAGGAAAGCCAACTCCTGTTGAATAGCTGCAGGAAAGGAGGCCAGAGAAGGGCTGTCACATGTGTCCATTCAGTGGGCAGAGCCAGAACCCTGTCTCCTAGCATCCAATGCAAAGCTCACTCCCCAATGTACCAAATTGTGTGAAAGGGCCACTGTTCGGAAAAAAGGAATGACTGAAGAAGTGCTCTCCTTGATGGAAGATGGTCCTGCCTGGGGAGCTTGGCCTGTCTTAGCCCAACAACCCTCCCTCCCCAGTATCTTCCTGAAAGTCCCAGGAAGAATAGAGTTTGATCTGCCAGGCTTCAGGGGGAGAATGAAGTATGTTGAGAAAAACTTCTATTGTTAGGCAGGCTGGAGGTAAAAAAGAGAACCCGGCTAAGCAGCAACTGAAGGCTTCAGACAGAAGCCCTTGGTCTCCCTTTGGGATACTAGAAAAGGGGCTCAAAAGCTGGGCAGAGAGAGACTTGAAGAACTGAAGAATCTTGATGCAAGGCTTCAGGGAGCCCCAGCCCTTATGCCCTGCCTTTGTGACTGTACCTCACCTGTCGCATAGAGAACACACCACCACCACAGCATCTGCCCCAAGGCACAGTCTCCGTAAATGTTATTTCCTCTGTTTTATGGCTCCCTGCCACTGGCCCTTACTAAGCTCCAGCCTGTTAGGGATGTGATCTGATCCCCCAGCTCTCCCACTCATTCATTCATATGAGGAGCATTTGCCAGGCTCTTTTCCAAGCTCTGAGAAGCTGGCGCAGAATGACTATGCCCTCCTTGAGGAGCTCAGATCAGCAGGAGGGAGGACAGAGTCATTCTTGTGGGTAGATAATACCATGTCATTAGGGCTTTAGTGGTGTTAGGTAGAGATTATTTGGGAGACCATATCTCAGTACCTCTGTGTGAAGTCAATTATTTTTTACCTTCTCTGTAAAGGCAGTATCCTAAAAAGGAAAACACCAAGGTGTAGCTTGCTTTCTGGGAGACCAAAGTTCTCAGTTTGAGCCCCTACTTAGCCACCAGCTTGCCCAGCAACCCTCCATGCATTTCCCTCTCTTGGAGAGTAACCCCTGTCTGTCCATCCTCCTCCCAGTGAGGAACCAGAGGAGGCATATGTTTGAGAGCGCTTTGTCAAATATCCCAAAGGGTCAGATATGACTCTTCTCCAGAGACTAATCTGGGTGGTTCTGGCCTCTCACTATTTTTCTGGGCAGCTTGTGTGGAGCGTGTAGTTGGACAGCTCAACACCTTTTCCAAAGCCAAACCCTCTGACAGCCTCCTGCCCCACACTGGTAGTGGTGAACCTCCAAGGAGGGGGCAGGGAGGCAGGTGCTAAGGCCCTGGGGCTGATTCCCATCCACTTTCCACGTGGCTTTGCTCTCTTTACTCTTCTCTAGGCCTCTGTTTCCCCATTTATAGGTCAAGGAGGGGGCTGGACGAAGAAGTCTTTAACATTTCCAAAGCTGTCTTCTGTGAAACATCAGTGACATTTATCTCCTTGTTATTTTAGTCTTAGAGATAGTGGTTGAAAGAAAGTGTATTAAGACAATCAAGTGTTTAATCAAAGGATCTTTTGCATTTAAAAATAAACTTGAAATCTCTTGCGTGCAGAACTGTCAAGGATCTTAACTTAGAGCCAAAGAAGACATGGAAGTGTCTATGAGGCAGGAAAGGCAGGCAAAGCCCTTCAGTAATTCCATATTGTTTATGGGCCCAATCCTTTGGCTTGGTCATCAAGGCCCTGCACAACCCTTGAAGATAAGGGGCTTAGTCTTTGTTCCTTGACCAAGCACAGAACCTACCTGACCAGGCCTGGCATAGTACCTGCTGGTTGGCTGACCTGGTGGCTAGATGGATAGGTGGTTCAATCAATTGCTAAGAGTCCCTAAGTAATTGGGTGGCCCAGTCTTTCCTAGAAGGAAAGGAACTCAGTTTGCCTCCCAAATCTCTTGGCAACTCTGAAGTGACAGAGATTATCTTTCAGCCTCCAGACTAGTATTTTGAACAAAGATATGTGAGAAGAACCTTATAAAAGACTGCCCAGCCTGGCATCCTCACTGTGGCAACAGCCCACATGTGGTTTAGGAGTAGCCCCACCAGGTGGTAGACACCCTGTAAGATCTGGATGTCGGTGGACTCCTGAGTCACTTGTAAGCCAAGGGGATTCCCTCTTCTTCCCTCCCTCTACCTTTCCCATACCCTAACTGCATATGGGACTTCCCCAGCTTTCCCGCTTTTA